CGGGAATGCAGTCTATCTCTATTCTTCTTCATAATAAAGAATACGAGTCTAGATGAAACTTTTTCATTTTATCAGATTAAGATTGATAAGAAAAATAAATTTTCGTGATTTGAAAAAATAAAGAGAAGTAATTTTTTGAGTCACAAAAAAACGTAAATGAACACTTAATTTGTAAAAAATCACGGATATCAAATAATAATTTTTTCTATGAAGACCTAATCTACTATTTTCTCTAAATTTCTTAAAATTCTAATGCCATAGTTACGAATATGTAGATACACATAAGATTCTTTCCGTATGTTTTCATAGTGTTCTCAGCTTTCAATAACATTGTATATTCTGTTATTAGCGAAAAGAAAAAAATATTTAATTTTGTCACAACGAATTTTTTGTTTATTTATAAAAGAGAGGGAACTTTATTTATTCTTTAATTTTTCTTCAGCATGTAGATAATAAAATTTTTATTTTTTTATTTTTTGTTTATAACCATGAAGAATACATATTTTTTTATTTTATAAATATACCTTATTCATATTCATTTACGAAGTGAAAATAAGTCAACATCACTAGTCTTAGAACTATCCAAAGAAATTCAAAAAGTTAGTCATTCGGTTAATGAACATATAAATAATTTCGAGCTGTGTATAGCTCAGAGCTACTTGTGCTCGACTTGTAAACGATGGTCGTGTGTTCAAATCTCGGTTCAAACTATCATTGGAAAAATTCCCACTCTGTTTCTCGCGATATTTGAGTGTTATATCATAGTTTGCTATGGTGCGTCGGTTCGAATCCGACACAGAGTGATGATTATTTTTAAAATTTTTCGAGAATAAAGTGAACGCATCCAGATGCACTCAATTTTCTGAACGAGTCCCCACGCTTGAAAATGTTGCATTCTGGACGCGCACAAACGCATCCCTATATGTAAACGAGTTGCGATGCTCTCGTAATTGAAACGCGTGCAGATGCATTTTTTTAATCTGAACGCGTTTGGACACCCGGAAATGTTGCATTTTGGACGCGTACAAACGCGTCACGTGCTCTTGCGTTAAACGCTCAGAGACGTGTTCGAAACTTAAAAATGGTTACATGGGTTACTCAGCATTCAATGACGAGATCTTGTTGTGTGTTCATCATGGTTTTTTTCATACCTGTGTCAATTGTTTGATTCTGAAGTGAAGAATGAAGATATATCAGAATGAAATAAACTACTTAATGGTAGTGATGAACATTTTGGTAAAGATTAAACGAGTGTCTAGTGCTAATAGATCGCTATTTGTTGAGATCAACATCGTTCTTTTATTTATGTTAAACTGGAACATCATCTGTAGGACTTACATGAAAAAAGTGCTGAAATTTATTTTTTTTTTTGAGACGATTATATGTACGTTCCTTTTCAGCAAACAGACAAAGAAATACCATGATTGGATTATTTAAAACTTCATAAAAGTCAAGAAAACAGCTTACAGATTTGAACAAAAAAAAAACAAACTCGACAAATTTCAACAGCAAGGTTTCGTTGAGCGTACTCATGGGATTCCGCATGATATAAAAATAGAGGTCCGGTGTGAATATGATTCGAGAGGAAAACTTAGCTGCTAGAGGATTCATTATCAATACTCATTAAGAATCAATTGAAATCAGTAGTAATGTAAAATACTACAAATTATGACATCTTGCATAGAGCTGTTACAGATTTGTGTCATCAGCGACGAGATAGAACGGAAAAACGTAGCCTTCTTACCAATTTGAGTCTACTAGAAGACAAATTTTATAATTTTGTTCTCCAATTCTCTGACAACAGGACAGCTAATTCGAGGGTGCATATGGATAAGAGAAAAGACACACATATATATCCTGTCACGATCATCGTCACAATTAAACGTTTCTAAATTTTTGTTTAAATATGAATATGAAGTTTGTAGATTCAAATGCTATAGAATGTTTTTGATTTAATGAACTTTAGTTTTGATAAAATATAGAAGTATGATTTTAACACTAAAATAAAATGTGTCGCAACGAGCTCCTCGTGTCGCAATTTTTATGTCTCGCATCTCTTGCGTTCTCCGCTGTTTGCTATATGTTGACTAGTGACGAACGCAAAAGATGCGACACGAGAAGCTCGTTGCGACACATGCGACACATTTTATTTTAGTGCGTTGAATTTGTTTTCTGACACATAATGTTAACAAAACTAAGCGGATATTATTCCTTTCGAATAACTAATGTCACAATTCACATTTGTTTTAGACATATTGAAAATTTCAGCAATTATAGAAATTTCTGTAAGTATGTCATTAATTCGGTTCGATAATATTTTTCGTAAAATCAAAAATGGCGAAATTTTCATTCGTAATTATTTCTTTGAAAAAGTACTTAAGATATCTCATCTATGATAGAAAATAGTTCATTTTAGCTGCATTTTTAGAAACTCGATTTAGATTTCTATTTCGAGTCTAAATAGCACGTAAGACTTAATGATTGTACAAAAAAACTATTGTGATGAAACTATCCTTCATACAAACACATCCTATGATCTATAAGACTATTCAGTTCTATTGTTTTCGAATGATTATTCATGGAAGTGTGTGAAAAAGTCGATAATACATGTTTATTAAAGTCACGTAGTTTTTGAAATAACTTTTGATTCTAGATTATTTACAGTTGAAACTATTTAACGATGACAAAAGCTGTATGGCATTGGAATTCGAATTCAAATCCATGGTGTCCAAAACAAGAACCACATTGGACAAAATATTCTGATATAGACAATGAAATTATCGAAAATGCTTATCAAAATCATCAAAAACATGTTGAATTAGATGCATATTTAATTGATCTAGAACATAATGTACAAAAAAAGAAATCGAATCACAATAAACAAAGACCGATAAGAAGAATTTTAATTGAAAAAGATCATAATTTAAGGAATGAAAGGTTTTTTATACCACCAAAATTAACTAAAACATTTAGTTCTTATAGTGCTTTTCATTCGAATTTTATTCAAGAATGGACTACAAGAAATTTTAATATAATGCATGATATGAAGAAAATAGTTCAAAATGCAGCTGATGGTATTATTCATGAAGGTCATTTACTTGGACAAGATAATCAAGCAAAATGGTTAGGTAACACATTACTACAATTTAAAAATAGTACTGAAAAAGAAATTAATAAATGTTGTGTACGACTTTATACTCATGAATCATTTCTATATATATTATTGAATAAAACACTACGAGAAGATGATATGAGTAAAGTAGATACTCTAGGACCATTTGCTTATCTTTTACATATGAGCAGTTCAAATTTAAAAGAACATCTTTACCAGGGTATTGTTTATCGGGGAGCCAAACTTGAAACAGATATGATTAATGATTATAAAAAAGCTTTAAATGATGGCTGTAGATCATGGAACGGCTTTACATCAACAAGTAGAAATCGTCAATATGCCGGAAAATTTGGAAATGTATTATTTATCATTGATATTTTACATTCTGGTACTGCAATCGATGTATCATCATTATCTGAATTTTCAAATGAAGAAGAAGTTCTTATAAATGCTGGATGGAATTTTTCTATTAATAGTATAGAATTTGATCATGATGGAAAACAGATTATTCATATAAAGCAAGACTAGATAACGTATATTTTTATTGGTGAACATAAAGTCGAAAAT